GGGAAAGAGATAAAAAAGAAGGAAAAGGAAAAGATGGAAGGGAGAAAGAGTGAAAGGAGAGCGAAAGGCAAAAAAGATAAGGAAAGAAGAGAGGGAAAAGAAGAAAAAAAATGAGGGAAGAGAGAAAGAAGGAAAAAGAAAAAAGAGAAAAGGGAAGAGAGAAAAAGAGAGAGAAAGAAAGAAAAGAAAAAAGAAAACAAAGGAAGAAAAAGAAAGGAAGAAAGGAAGGAAGAAGGAAAGAAATAAGGAAGGGAAAAAAGAAGGAAAAGTCCCGCTCAGCTCAAATAAGGCAGCTCTCCCTCCCTTTTCCAGTAAAACATCTCTTCTGCGCGCAGGGCACAGCACTCACGGAAAGCGCGTCCCCCCGGCGGCTCCGAGCGCAGCGCTGAGCCCCGCGGCCACTCGCCCCCCGCTCGCCTGGGCGGGCCGAGGCCGGGGATGGGATGGGGATGGAGAGGGTCCGGGGTAGACGAGGCTGTGGGCCAGCAGGGCTAGGGTTCTTGTTTTGGGGTGCTGAGACAGCGGGAAATGAAACAGGCGCTTTATTTCTAAAAGTTTGGTCTCAGGTTGGGGGAGGAGGGGAAGAGGGAGAGGAGGGTATCCCAAGGAGAAACACGTGAAGGAAGAAGCGTCCAACTGCAAGTTAGCACGGGCAGGAGGGAAAGCAGTCTAGTACTCGCTCCTACCGTTCAGCGTTTTCTATTCTTGTCCCCCAACTAGTGACAGATTAAGTTGGGCAGATTTTCAACCCGAGTTTTAATATGGATTTATTCTAGATACAAGGATTCCGTTCTAGCTACAGCAATTCCTATTTAGGCGACATATACGGATTATCCACGTACCCTAGAGAGAATTTCCAGGAAGGATCTCAAATAGTTGTTTGTTTGGGTTGTGGTTTTTTTTTTTTTCCTTTTTTTTTAGTGATTCAAAAAGTTGAAGCGATATTTAGGTACATAGTTGTATAAAGACGTTTCTCTTTGCTTTAGCATATGTGTGTGATCAAATACATGCCATGAGAATGGGTTGGGCTGAGAAGGGAGAATGAGACGGAGGAAAAGGGTGCGTGACAGAAAGAAACAGTGGTTATTTTATAAACACCAAATCCAGGCCATGTGTGAGCCATTGTCCAGGGGTAGAATTAAGTGAATGTAACACGATAGCGCTCGGTTATTGTAAACAGGACGTATTGTATTGCTATTGCTGCCCTTTTCGAGAGGAATTTTCAATCTGCAATTTACAGACCTCAGACAGGGAGCACAGAAGCCAAGACCTACTTATTGAAAACAAATTTTCGTCATCTAATAGGGACTGAAAAAACACCATTGCAACCCTGGTTGTGGGGTTCCCCACCCCCCCACCTCCCCCCGCGCCATCGGCTGGGCAGAAGTAGTGGTTTACTAGTAAAAGATACGATAAAGAAAACATACAGGACAACATCCAGATTCTTTAAACGTAAACAGAAAGATCAATCTTTAGGGTTTTTTCCTCTGATAGATCCATAGCTGTTGAGCAAGGTGGATTTATCCGGTATACAGGAAACTCCAAGCTATTAGATTACCGGGGGAAGGGAGGGAAGAGAATCATCCTCTCTAGATTTTCTAACTCTATCTGGAAACTCATCACCTTTCCCTCCCTGCACACACACCTCCTTCTCCTCCTCCTCCTCCTCCTCCTCCCTCCCTCCCTCACGCTGCCGTCCCTGCTCCGATGTGCTAGCTAGAGCCACGGAAAGTTAAGTTGCACCAAAACACGCAAGTCTCTTATAAAGTAACCCCTGGTATCACTTTTAACTAAAGAAGTCTAGTAATTAAAAGTCTGAGTTGTTTTTCCACGTTTCCGCATGCAGTCCTAATTAAATCTTTACGATCCTCTCTGTGACTATTAACTGCCAGCATGCTGAGCGAATATCCTGTACAAAAACCCAGCAGGAGGGCGTAATTAGATAGAAAATCAGACAGGAGTCTTCTCATTAACTACAACAACTAACCCACGTTGCTGATGGAGCGAGCGGAGTGCACGCACACACATAAAGCGGGTGCACAACCATCTACTCCAGAGATAAGGTGAGATAAGGAGGGGAGAAAAAAAATAAATCCAAGGAAAAGGTGGCGTTTGATATTTACCTCTAATTCTGTGCCATCGAGGAGCACCACGATGCACTCCAGCAGGCTGCAGGATTTGCTCATCATCCCTCTTTGGGAGCTGCTCAGGGAAAGGAGGGAAGACATTGTAATTTTATTTTGTGCCCTTTAGGTATGTAGCCTATTGATTATGAGAGAG